CTTCACTAAAGCTGTTTCTGTGCTGTGATGAGCTCTGAAACCTGACTGAAACTCTTCAAATAAACCTCTGCAGATGATCTGTTAGCTGTTTGACAACTAATTTACTTTAGAAATCAGTAAATGACCAGCTCTGATATTTTTATCAGTGTAATGTGAGGAGAGCGTGGTGCGAGCGAACTGAGCTGCTTCTGTGTGTTTGCAGCGGTGGACGAGCAGAACGCTCAGACTCAGCAGCAGGTCTTCTCTCTGAGCCGGGCCGAGGAGGAGGGTCTGGTGGAGGAGGACGAAGAGGAGGACACCGAGGAGGACAAGACATCCCTGCACTCGTCCTACAGCTCCAAGCATCGTGGCGCTCGCAGAGGTCAGAAACATCCAAAGCGTGCTTTCCCCACGGGACGGCCGCCGCACACTCATGCTTTGTTTTCTGTCTTCAGTCAGTAAGACGCCCTGTGAGAAGCTCATCAGCAAAGGCGGCCTACCACTGGGCAGCTCCGCATCACTTCCTGTCCAGACAGGAAGCCGGGACAACATGCCTATGCTCAACACAAAGATCCTGTATCCAGGTAACAGGCCGGCAGGTCTGACTTCTTAAAGTGTGTGTTTATGATGCCAGTAGTGATGTGTGTGTGTGTGTGTGTGTGTGTGTGTGTGTGTGTGTGTGTGTGTGTGTGTGTGTGTGTGTGTGTGTGTGTGTGTGTTGCAGGCTCGCTGTCCAACAGCTCCGTCATCAGCCGATTGTTGGTCAACGCCGACCCGTTCAGCTGCGACCCCGACAACATGTGAGGCTCCGTGACTGCGTCATAAGGTCCTCGCCGCGTCCACACGTGCTCTCATTAACCCTGTTGTGTGTGTGTGTGTGTGTGTGTCAGGGACTGCTACACTGAGAAGTGTGTCATGAACAACTACTTTGGCATCGGACTAGACGCCAAAATCTCTCTGGACTTCAACAACAAGCGAGACGAACATCCAGAGAAGTGCAGGTAGGAGTGGGCACGGTGACGGCGGCGTGGCGAGCTCCAAGAGCGCTAACTGACTCAGATGTGTCCTGATCTGCAGGAGTCGCACCAAGAACATGATGTGGTATGGAGTCCTAGGAACCAAGGAGCTGCTGCACAGAACCTACAAGAACCTCGAGCAGAGAGTCCTTCTGGAGGTGAGAGCAGAACCAGGAAATCCCTCACGCTCTGCTGCCTCCTCAGTAAACTCACTCTGACCTTCATGACATCATGAATGTCTTCAGGGTCTTTAAGGCCGAGTTCAGTTTTCTTCACAGTATTTTTTATAAATGGACGTAGTCCAAACAACCTGCAGCCGACGGGGAGGGGCACGACCAGGAAAACGACAACTTCCTGCTTCCTCTTAGGTCCTGAGAGCGCAGACACACCAGCTCTGTGAACCACCTGACCTGTCACTCCACTTCTTACCGTGTTCCTGCAGTGGTTAAAGAGATTAGCTGGTAATACGCGTGACACTGTGTGTTTCAGTGTGATGGTCGGCCAATCCCTCTGCCCAGTCTGCAGGGAATCGCTGTCCTGAACATCCCGAGCTACGCAGGTGGGACCAACTTCTGGGGAGGAACCAAAGAGGACGATGTAAGACCTCCACCTCCTCCACCTGTCTGTACTCGTGTGAACATGTTGATGCTGAAATGAAGTAATACATTACTGTAGTACTGAACGTCTCATGTGAAGGTTGGCGTTTGCGTAGCTGCAGTCATTGTGAGCGCCCCCTGTGGAACAGGAAGTTCTCTGGTGGTTACTAGTAGTTGAGCGGTGCTGTCATGACTCGGCCTATGTGTTTCTGTCAGACCTTCACAGCGCCGTCCTTCGATGATAAGATCCTGGAGGTGGTGGCCGTTTTTGGCAGCATGCAGATGGCCGTGTCCCGAGTCATCAACTTGCAGCACCACCGCATCGCTCAGGTACCCACCCACCCACCTACCTGTCCAATCCACCCGCCTATCTGTCTGTAACTGTCACCCCCTCCCTCTCAGTGTCGGACAGTGAAGATCACAATCCTGGGCGACGAGGGTGTCCCGGTTCAGGTGGACGGGGAAGCGTGGATCCAGCCTCCGGGGTACATAAAGATCATCCATAAGAACCGGACCCAGACCCTGACCCGAGACCGAGTAAGTGAAGCAGCTCTGGGTTGTTCTGGGAGTCTCGATCCGGCCCGGCGGAGGTTTTCACCTCGTGTCTGTGTTTCAGGCATTTGAGAGCACCCTGAAGTCCTGGGAGGATAAACAGAAGTGCGAGTTTCCCCGGGCGCCGCCTCAGCCACCACTGTCCTCCCAGCCTGAGATCGTCTCCGAGGAAGAGGCGACACTCATAAGCGAGTTCGGTCAGGCAGCTGGAGTGCTCATCCACAGGTGAGACCCACCCAGTGTTCCCACCTGCTCCCTGAACAAATGTTTTTACTTTTGATAACATGGCATGGCGGTGTCACAGTGGTTAGAACCGTCGCCTCACAGCAGGAACTGGTTTGAATCCGTTGGTAGGACCTGTCGTCCTACCGCAGCTCAATAAACAGATGGATTTGGTCTGATTCTGTGGAAGAACAAAGGCCTTAGGGTCGACCTCTGTGCTCTTGTTGTGAGTACCTGAATGTGTTTGTGACGTTTCAGCATCCGTGAGGTCGCTCAGTTTCACCAGAGCATGGAACAGGAACTGGCTCACGCTGTCAACGCCAGTTCAAAGGCCATGGACGTAGTCTACGCCGACTCCAAGAGCTCCAGGGTACGACAGCTGCTCTTACCTTTTCTATCGTTCACGTAAGTCCTTGAGCCTTCAGCTGTGTAAAGTATCACTGTTTGTCTACAGGCTCTGAGCTGCAGCGTGGTCATTCAGATGGTCAGCAACATCAAAGCTTTGGTCAGTGAGACTGAACTTCTCCTGTCTGGAAAGATGTCCATGGTAACTGCTTTGGTCCTTTACTTTATCCCAGAATGTTAGAAACCTTAGGCTCTATCTTTATCTGTTACACAATGCAGGTTGACAGGTTCCTGCCATGTTTTACTCTGATTGTTCATGGGTAACCACACCAAAAAAACAAAGCCTGGTCCTCGTGGTCCAGTCCTAACATTGTGTGTCTGTCTCTGCAGCAGCTGGATCCTCCTCAGCAGGAACAACTGAATGCAGCTCTGAGTTCTGTGGCTCAGCAGCTCCCCCGCCTGGCTGATGTTCCCTGGTTGTGTCCAGTCATTGACCCATCAGACCATGAGGTAATTACTGTACTTTACTTTATTGATTTATACAGCACTCTTCACAGGATAAAAACAACAAAGTGCTTCACAATAATATAAAACAGTACAATCAAACATACAGCACAAATCTAATTAAAAGCCAGTCTAAATAAATGAGTCTTAGGATGATGTTTAAAAAAAATAAATACAATCCAGGCAACATAGAGATGGAGGGAGAGCAACCTGGGGGCCACCGCTCTAAAACCTCTGGTTTTAAAACGTGTTCGGGGAACTATCAGCAGCCTTTGATTAGATGATCTCAGGCTGCGAGAGGGAGCGTGAGCTTCTAAGAGATTAGAAATAAAGAGAGGAGCGTCATGATTCGAAGCTTTAAAAGTCAGTACTAAGATTTTAAAATGAATTCTAAAATGTACTGGAAGCCAGTGTAATGAGCGTAAAACTGGTGCAATGTGCTCTCTTTTTCATGTCTTTGTTAAAAGCTTTGCCGCAGCATTCTGGACTGACTGGAGACGGTCATGGTTCTTTTTGCTCAAACAAAGAAAAAGACTGTTACAATAATCTAAGCAAGAAGAAATAAAAGTACGAATAATCATTTCTAACTCAGATTTAAACAAAAACATTTGCAGTTTGGAGATATTTCTCAGCTGAAAAAGGCAGTTCCTAATTAAATGTCGAGAGTGTTGCTCTAGAGACATGGCAGAATCAAAAACAACACCGAGATACCTGAGGCTTGGGTGAGCCTCAGGTATCTCTGAGCCAAGAGAACTAAGATGCTGTTTGATTATAGATATCTGGCTGTCAGGTAGAGCTGCCATAAACTATTATAGTCGACTAGTCACCGATTAATTTTGCGATTAGTCACTAATAGAGATGGCACGATACCACTTTTTTATGTCCGATACCGATACCGATATCATAAATTTGGATATCTGCCGATACCGATATGAATCCGATATAGTGTTTTTAAATCAACAAAACTGTTTTTTTTAAATATCTTGCTGCATTTTGTATAAGTTCATACTCAAGTTTAAAACAACAACTACACTAAAGCTATTCTGTTATACCTATATGCAAAAAAAAAAAATTTCATAGTTCAGCAATACTGATCAATCTAATAAACTTAAACCTACACCCCTATTCTGGTATTTTAAAGAGTACTTAGCATAAATATTAAGCAACCTAACTAATAGGGTTCCAACTCCCAGCAACAACAAAAATAAATAAATAAAAAATAGGGAACCACCCCTCACGCTCCACCTCATGATGCTTAATCGACGTAATCAACCTTAATTTGATGCAGTGTGAAAAAAAATGCACAGCAATCAATTCTTTTTCAAGAAATATTAAATAGATTCAACATCTTTCTTCAACAAAATTGCAGACTGCACAGATGGTACCTTCCCAAAGGAAAAAGTACTATAGCTTACTAGGGTATATTAGACTTAACAGTTACTATATGCAGTAATGGACTTCTATACATTTTACATCAGATTAAAACTTTGGGTGTAAGATTCAGATAAATATTAAATAATTAAAAGCTCGACATTTTAAATGAGAATAAGAAAGAAAAGTATGTCTTTGTGCCCCCTTTTCCCTGTTAATGCCCTATCGGCCCCCCTGGCTAAACTTTGCTAGATCCGCCCCTGCACAGTTACCAGCGTCAGCTACGTAGAAAAAGATCCTCGAGTAGAAAGTAATATTAAATACATTCTAACAACAGCTGATCAAGCTTAAATGTGCTGCTGTTGTTCAGCCGCTGGTTTCCTCTTTCTGGTGCAAAGTGGGCCAAAAACAAACAACAGAGACGGACTCGCGACAGAAAAGCCGATCAGCTGATCATTAAGCAGTTTCATGATTGAAGTAGCAGCCGGAGAGCGAGAGGCAGTCGCTCGTTAAGCTTAACGCAGGAATGCTTTACAAACATTCAGAGATGGACAGACACACTTGCTTTACTTCTCTCGGGATAACTTTGTCGGAGATGAAATGCCGGGTTGCTAGCGAAGCTCCACATGCTATCCAGACCACCTACAGGTCCCGCATGCCACAGCCGCTCTATCACGTGATGCATACTGCTCCAACGTGCTAACGTTCTGAGGTGAGTTACGGCGTGTTGCAAGTTTTGTGAGGTGCTTTCGTGATATTTAATGGATCGGATTACATTTTTTATTTTTCTCCGATATCCGATCCAGTAATTTAGGTCAGTATCGGACCGATACCGATACGTAATATCGGATCGGTCCATCTCTAGTCACTAATCAGATCATCATCCATTGTACTGCTTATTGCACCAGCAGCATCTGCTCTTATATAACTATCATTAGCTTACAGCTTTAAGTGTTTAAGGTGCTAACTAACAATAAAGACAAGATGATAGGTTATTAAATTTTAATGAAATTTTCAGATTATTTCAGTGGAGATTAATAAACTCAGCCGTCTGCTCCTTGCTATCTAAAATATAATGGGACACCGGAGTAAATTATCGAGCAGCTCACACAAATCAGCTGTCTGCTTGACGTTTATTCAGCTGTGTAAAAACTATAATTTAATCTCAGCCAAACCGATTTACTCAGGAACAAATAAAATACTAAAAAAAAGCCAAACAATAACATTTTAAGTTCTCTAAGTGACTCATATATCATGTTTAACCTGAGTAGCGAAAGACGGCGGTGGGTTTGAAAACGATTTGCCGGGAGTCCGGTGTTCTCACGGCTCTAGTTAGCCTTGCCCCCGGCTAGCTATCGAGCTAGTGGGTAACAGACGTCTCCGAAAACGTCGGAGCGCTTTTGAAAATATGTGGTGTCTTGATAAACCGAGCAGATATTTGAAGAGATCTGAAAATATCTTAAAAGTTTATGACCCAGAAAGAACAGGACAGGGCACAGGAGAGGAGCAGCTACGATACCGGACACAGCTTCTTCTTCAGGGTTTAACGGCAGCTGGCATCCTTGTACATGCAGTGCTGCCATCTTCTGTTTCAGTCCGTTATTACACTCTTAAATCCTACTACTTATTCCTGCGTCTTTTGGGATCTTACAAAGCTTCAAACGACGCGTCGACTATCAAATTAGTCGTTGACGTAATCGTGACCAGTCGACTAATCGTGGCAGCGCTACTCTCAGGGGCAATAATTAATGTTTTTGACTTCAGTTCAGTTTTATTTATATAGCGCCAAATCACAACAACAGTCGCCTCAAGGTGCTTTTTTATTGCAAGGTCGACCCTACAATAATACATATAGAAAAAACCCAACAATCATATGACCCCCTATGAGCAGCACTTTGGCGACAGTGGGAAAGAAAAACTCCCTTTCAACAAGAAGAAACCTCCGGCAGAACCAGGCTCAGGGAGGGGCGGGGCCATCTACTGCAACCGATTGGGGGGAGAGAGAAGGAAGAGAGGATAAAGACATGCTGTGGAAGAGAGACAGAGATTAATACAAAGTATGATTCAGGGGGCGCTAGTGAGCCGACAATGGAGTAAGACGTGTTGGACTGGGCTCCCGTCTAGCTAGCTTATATTTTAACAATTGCTTTTAAAGGCTTATTTAAACGAACTACCACTCCCCGTAACACCTGTGACCGACGAGAAAAAACGGGCCAAGGTTACAACCGGAATGGCATCAAAACTCTGGAAATATAGGGTATACTGGCCCCTCGGGCCAGCGGCCAGACACATCCTCGGCACACGCTGATAAAGCAGGCAGGAGCTCGTCGCCTAGCTCGCAGTCAGGCACCGCGATGGAGTATGAAGGCCTGAAATCGGACATCCTCTCCTCTCTGAAAGACGATATCTCCATGATTATCAGGTCAGAACTGAAAAGTGCGCTTGCAGAGGATTTCGACTGCCTCAAGAACGAACCAAGAGAAGTTAAGATGGAGATTACTAACAACACAGCAGCAGTCCGCTCAGAAATTAACAACATCAAGTCCGCTATTAGCGACCTGGAAGAGGGTTTATCATCAAGGTCGTACAAGGTTGTCAGCCTCCAAGAGATGGTTGCAGGATTACAGACTGAGCTGGCTAGCTTAAAAGAAAAGAACAAAGATATGGAGGCAAGAATGTGGAGGTGCAATATTTGTATTGTGGGTGTTGCGGAGGACGCCGGTTCCAGCTCGACCAGCTCAGTTTCTACTCTATTGAAAGAAGTTCTGCAACTGGATAAAGAAATCCCAGTGGACTGCTCACATAGAGGCCTTGCTCCCAGAAGATCTAACGGGAAACCTTCAGTTATCATCGCCAAACTCCATTACTACCAAGACTGCGTCAATGTGCTACGGCAGGCCCAGGAGTGGGGTGTGTTGCAATATAAGGGGAACCCTCTGGCCATCTTCCCTGACTACACCGCGAGCATTGCCAAAGCTCGCAGTGCCAAAGCTCGCAGTGCCAAAGCTCGCAGTGCCAAAGCTCGCAGTGCCAAAGCTCGCAGTGCCAAAGCTCGCAG